GGAGGAGGAGGAGGAGGAGGAGGAGGAGGAGGAGGCGGGGGAGGAGGAGGAGGAGGAGGAGGAGGAGGAGGAGGAGGAGGAGGAGGAGGAGGAGGATATTTTTTTTTGCTCGCGGGCAGAAGCGATAGCCTTCTGACGTGGCTAGCGCCGATGACTGCAGCCTCTGTAGCTGCAGCCGCGGCGGGCGGCGGCGGGGCAGTCACGAGGGGTGGCCCTTGCTCTTGGCCTTGCCGCCGCTCCGCACCTTGTCCCTGCCCGAGCCCATGGGGTTCGGCAGGTTGCGGAAGGTCTTACCGTCAAGAAGATCGCCCTCCGACTCGGCATTGTCGGTCATGGAGTCCTTCGGTGCCTGCGCCGTCGTGATGCGCACCATGTTGGCAGACCAGTCGTACTCAGACAGCTCGAGCACGCAAGGAGAGTCCACCATACGCGAGGAATCCACAACCTTCTCAAACTTGTTGCTCAGCACCTCCTTCGAGGCGCACTCGATGTCCTTCTTGATCGGCTCCCCCTCCTGCTGCGTCACCTCGACTGGCTGCTGGAAGTTGCCGTCCGCCTTTACCTTCATCTTGACGGGGTTGTCGATGCCATCCAGCACCTCCTCCCCGTGCTCGGCCTTGATCGCCATCGCGAGCTGGGCCTCCTTCTCGTCGGACTTCTTGACCATGTACTGCGCGTGCTGGCGCGCCCCCCTCTGCGAGCGCTGCGGGTCCAGGAGGGCCTCCTCGAGCAGCTCGATCGGGAGGTCGGCCTTGCCCAGGTGCCAGTGGGCGCCCACGTTTCGGCGCGAGCGCGCCTGCCCGTCAGGCCACTGCCCCCTAATGCGCTGCAGCATCGCCGGAGCCATCGCGGCGAGGCGCACCGCGAGCTCCGCTACGTCGTCGCCTCCGGCATGCGCAGGCTGCGCCGAAGCCATGACGCACCTGCAGGCCGCAGCGACCGCCGCTGCCACCACCTGGCGGCTGCCTCCACCCTCGGCGGCACCCTTGGCCGCCGCCTCAACGAGAGCAGCCTCCATGCCACGCCACTGCCGCGGGGACCGTGGGAGACCGTGCCACAAGTCGGCTTGAGCCAAAATGGCTACGGAGGAGGAGGAGGAGGAGGAGGAGGAGGAGGAGGAGGGGGAGGAGGAGGAGGAGGAGGAGGAGGCTCGGGGCGTAGGAGGAGGAGGAGGAGGAGGAGGAGGAGTAGGAGGAGGAGGAGGAGGAGGAGTGAGGCGGGGGAGGAGGAGGAGGAGGAGGGAGGAGGAGGAGGAGGATGGGGAGGAGGAGGAGGAGGCGGAGGAGGAGGCGGGGGATGAGAGGAGGAGGAGGAGAGGAGGAGGAAGGAGGAGGAGGAGGCGGAGGAGGCGGGGGAGGAGTAGGAGGGAGGAGGAGGAGGAGGAGGAGGAGGAGGAGGAGGAGGAGGAGGAGGAGGAGGAGGCGGGGGGGAGAGGAGGAGGAGGAGGAGGAGGAGGAGGAGGAGGAGGGGAGGAGACGGAGAGAGGAGGAGGAGGAGGAGAGGAGGAGAGGAGGAGGAGGAGGAGGAGGGGGGGGGCGGTGGAGGAGGCGGAGGAGGAGGAAGGACGGAGGGGAGCGGGAGCGAGAGGAGGGAGAGGAGGAGGAGGAGGAGGAGGAGGAGGAGAGAGGAGGAGAGGAAGAGGAGGAGGAGGAGGAGGACCCCTCGTTCCTCCGCCCCCCCCCCGCCCCGAGGAGATCTGGGGCAGGGTCGAGCGTGGCGCGCGGCTGCCAGGCTCGTGGGACGAGACCGCCCGCGGGGCGCAGGAGCTTGCCGCCGCCGCCGCTAGCCGCCGACGCCGCCGCTTACCAGCCCCAGACATGATCGCGTCGTACAACAAAAAACAGGACGGTTGTTTTTTGGCCGTTTTCGGCCTCGGAAGGCCCTCGCCGGGCTTCGGGACCGTCCCCCCAACAAAAAACTCAGAATGAAAAGCCGGTCCCGGGGGAGAGGGTCGGGACTTCCAGGGACGCCGCATGGAAAAAAATAGGACGTCGCATGCCTGGGGCCCCTTGCCGCTCGCCGCCCCTTCCCAGAGATCCGACGCTCCAAACAAAGAGTGGAAGCGGCGGCACTGTTTGGCAGTTTTGCCCCTCCGGGGGGCCTCGCTGGGCCTCGGGGGCGTGAAGCAGCGCCTCGGGACGAAAAGCCGGCCCCGCAGGGAAGTGGTTTGGACCCCGGCGGCCCACGCATCGGATAAATTTGGAGTTGCCCGATGTCTGGGATACGAGGGGATGCGGACAAAAATGCGCACGGAGATGCAGGAACAAGAACACCCTTCACGCCGCAGCGCGGCAGAGCTGGTGCGCACGCGCGTTCCGCAGGCCGGGTAGCGGCACGGCGAGCTGTCCCGAGCGCAAGAGAAGGGTAAAAGGACCAGACCCCCCACGTCGTGATTTTTTCACAGCGTCGACCCCCAGAGGTCTAGACGTCTAGACCCCTTTCCCGGGACCAGCTTTTCATTTTTGTTGCCAGTCCCGAGGCCCGGTGTGGGCCCCTGGAGGCCGAACATACAGGGAAAAACTTGCCGTCGTGACTTTTTTCACAACGCGGGGCGGCATCGCGCCTGCGCCCCGGGATGGGCACAGCGGCTTCCCAGACCTCGCGGTGCGAAAGAGTCACCACGGGAGGTTTTTCGCCACCATGTTCGGCCTCTCGGGGCCTGGGCCGTATCGGGCCTCGGGTCCGTCCTGGAAACCGGGGTGAAGACCCGGTCCAGGGCAAGGGGTCCAGACCTCCGGAGGTCCTGCGGAGAAGTCACGACGCACAGGGGGGCCTGCAGGCTCAGTGCGGGGCCGAAGACCGGCAGGCGACGGGCAGCGCCAGCGGTGGGACCCCGCAGGGCCCGGTGGGGCGGCTGCGGGGCGGGCTGCGCAGGCAGGGCTGCAGTGGCCGACCGGGGGGGGGCACGGGCCCGGGGGAGGCGGCGCCGCGGTGGCGGAAGGAGCGCGCCCGCAGCGCGAGCCGGGTCGAGAGGCCCCGGGGGGGGGGCTTTGGGCTCCTCGCTCCTCGACCCGAGTGGACGTGTCATGCTCACCTGTCGCTGCGGTCGCTGGCGCCTCCCTCCGCCTTCACCACTCGGCCGTCACCCAGTCTCGTCCTCCGCTGCGCCCGCGTCCTTCACTGGACCTGCGCGCCGCGTCCGGCTGTGCGGCCTGCCTGCCCTGGTCTCCTTCGGCATCCTGTGGCCTCGTCGTCGTGCTGCTCGTCTCCGCTCGGGCGCTGCCACATTTTCTCGCTCGCCACCCACGCCCCAGTGGCCTATGGCGCGGTCGATCTTGTGCGGGATCCCGCTTCTGAGGGCCTGGCCGCGCGCGCACGCTCCGTGCTGCTCGCTCGACCTTCTCCGCCTCGTCGCTGCGCGCGGGGCCACGACGGCCAAAACAGTGTGTGTGTGTGTGTGTGTGTGTGTGTGTGTGCGTGTGTGCGTGTGTGTGTGTGCGTGTGCGTGTGTGTGTGTGTGTGTGTGTGTGTGTGTGCGTGTGTGTGTGTGCGTGTGTTCGCGGCTTCATCAGCCTGCGATTTTGTGCGGCTTCGTCGCCTGCACCAGCCGTTTGGCCAGCCCTCATTCGGATATATGCGAGTCTACTTCAGCACATGTTTGCAAACATGTAGGTATGTTCCTATAAGCTGACAGTCGCTCGGGGGTGGACCCTCCCTCCTGCAGAAGACCTCTAAGAGCCAGCTCAAACGCAGCATCTGTTGTTCTCGAGTGTGTTTGTTCAATTTGGGAGTATCTGAACTTCCGAGACCGCCCAATAATCTTTGGATGCCGCATCACAGTTGACCAAGAAGTCATCTGACAAACCGAGGAGAGCCTCAAAGACCGCCCGAACAGATCCCCAGGACGACACAGTATGGCCTCAAGACGCCGCCCCCCCAAAACACTCCAAATTGTTTGTGGTCTGGTCGTTGAGGGGGACCGCGGTTAGCAGCAACGTGGCTTCAATGAGCCCCCCGATCAAGCCCTCCGCTTCTTGCGCGCATTTCGCTGTTGTAGATTCTAGTATTCTTGTGGTGTTGGGTTTCATGCCCCGCGATATTGCGCCGCTCGTTTTTACCCATTCCTCCGTCCTTCTCGTCCGGTTGCTGCCCGTTCCATTGGTGCCTTGTCCGTTGGCACATCCCTCACCCACTCCGTGGCCCACGGAGAACCCAACGCATGGGTGGCAGATATCGAAAGTACATTTGATTGTCGACCTTTGCTGATGAGGAAGAGGGAACCGTAGGGCGCACAAGTGCACTGCCAGACTTGCCAGCCGCCGTCTGGCAAGCCAGTTGCGCACGGTCTGACACCGACACGTCTGAGGAGGAGGAGGAGGAGGAGGAGGAGGAGGAGGAGGAGGAGGAGGAGGAGTGAGGAGGAGTGAGGAGGAGTTAGGAGGAGGAGGAGGAAGAGGAGCTCTTTAGAAGTATGGAGGGTGAGAAGGAGGCGGATGAGGAGGATGATAATAAGGTGAGTACAAGAACACACGGAGGAGGAGGTGGAGAAAGAGGTAAGATAACCGGGGCGGAGGAGCAGGAGGAGGACAGTTTATCTTAGAGTTTGGCGAGGGACAATTCTATCGTTCGTTTAGGGAGGTGTTGGGATTGCCGAAGTTGCGGGAGTATCGAAGCCCTTGTTCAGGAATCCCCAGGCCCGCCGCCGCCGCTCACCACTCCCATAGGGCCATCGGCTGTGGGTGAGTCTGGGTGGGCCGTCTCGGGCGCAGGGGAAGGTCCCAATGGGAGCGGTGAGCCGATCGTGCTCTGCAGCACGTGCGGAGCCTACCTGCGGTAGGAAGCAGGCGGTGTTCTACTCCCGGGCTCGAGAACTCCTGTCGCAGCGGACGCAGACGTCGGCCGGATTAGCTCGCGTGGCCCTGGGGAAGCTGAGGGCGGAAAGGGAGCCCAGGCCTTGGAAGTTGGGGGGCGGGCTGCCTTTCCCCCTTGCCCGTTCGGGCCCCGCTGAGTTCGGTCAGGTCTGGCTCTAGGCCTGCCGGACCTTTGTCTTTCCAGGTCCTCAGCCCCTCGTCCTGGCCTGGCTGGGTCAGAGTCTTAGCAGGTGGAGGTGTTCTGATTCGCGGGCCGCCCTCGTGTAGGACATAGAAGGAAAGTAGTAGGAGGAGAAGGAATCACAATAATAATAAGAAGAAGAGCAGGACGAAAAGCTCCTGCTGCTGCTCCTCCTCCTCCTCTTCCTCCTTCTCCTCCTCCTCCTCCCTCTCCTTCTCCTCCTGCTCCTCCTCCTTCTCCTCCTCCTCCTCCTCCTCCTCCTCCTCCTCCTTCTCATGAGG